TTTATTTCCTTACTCCTACTCCTTACTCCAGCTTACTCCATGTATTGTAGACCAGCCTTTATATTCCCAAAGAAAACTGGAAAAACATTTTTTTCACGAAAACAAAGCTTCCTCTATAAGGAAGCAATTGTCATATTTTCTAATAATAATAAAGTAGTTGAAGCACACTATTAAATTATTTATTATAGCCCGATAACAATTTCATAAAATTTTATAATGAAAAATGTTTAGATGTCAATATCTCTTAAACAAAGCGTTTACGGACATGTCTCCAAAGGAAATTTTTTTCTTGTTTTGAGGTCCTAAGTTCATATTTTAAGTTAGGACACTTTATCCTGAAACACCCGTATACAATGTTTGTAAGACTTAGTAAGACTATGTGGCCCTAATATTATCGACGTTGAATTAGGGCTTTAAAATGTTTGATACCAAACAATCAATTCATAAGTCTTAGGCCCGGTCTACAATGAGTTGTTAGTCGTTAGTCAGAAGTCGGAACTATATGTCGGTCCTTTTTCTTCCACCCAGAAAGGAAAAGGATCAACATATAGTTGCGACTTCTGACTAACGACTAACGACTCATTGTAGACCGGGTCTTACAAACTTTGCGACATCTATTGTACGCTATAATTAAATTGCGAATAAATATAGATACCGTTCCACATTTTTTAAACAGTTTAATGAAAAAGATAACATGGCCATAACAATGCTGTTAAAATAGAAATTGTACGACTGATTATTACTAGTATTATACTATTATACATCTGCTACCTTGTTCCCACATCAAACGAAACGTATCGTATTAACGTTTATCTTACACTAGAGATACGCATTTTACAGCGTTACTAGTGCAACAGGATCATCCTCATCGATCTGGTAATCCAGAAAATCCATCCGGATCTGCTGGTGCTTCTGCTTATGCGCCTTCAGCGAGCTGGGTTGCATGAAGGTCCTTTGACAAATGTCGCAAGTGTATGGCCGCTCGCCCGAATGCGTGCGCTCGTGACGAATAATGTGGCTCTGATGATGAAATCTCTTGCCACAAACGCGGCACACATACGGACGTTCATTTGTGTGCGTCCTGCTGTGAGTCTTTAGGTCGAATTTCTTGAAGAAAGACTTGCCACAGTGCAGGCAAACGTGATTGCGCTGCTTTAAATGGTCCCTCTTTACATGCTCCTGCACGAGAAACATGTTATCTTTACGACATACACATACAAGGTGGTGCATCTTAAACTTTGGTCACAGAGCTGTACGACTGGCACAGAATTCCATAATATTAA